GGCAAGGGTTGGACAGCAGTTTTTTTAGACTGGAGAAAGAAGGATGGTGTAAGGAAAACCTAATGTTGCCCAGAAGATGAGATTCATGCTAGAAGGATGTCTGGAAACATGGAAGCCATTCTGGGAGCCTCCTGCTCCGCTTAGGAAAATGAGTCATATTTCTACATACTCCTTATGACTAAAAAGGATGGCACTCGTGCATTGCTTGGCTACAGCAGCAACTCTGCCTCCTGACAGAACAGCCCTGGAGGCCCCAAATACTGATTAATTGCTCATGACATAAGGAGTCATGTTAATATCAGCAGCGGGATCCGGTTCCCAGGGAGAGAAGTGGCAGACTGGTAATTCCTCTTGATCCAAAATGGAACAAATAATGGAAACGATCGTACAGATCAGATAAATGAAAACAAAAAATCAAAACAAGGGTAGAAGGTGAGGCAAGAAAGTTTTAAAACAATATCTGTAAGCTTAGTGTTGAGCTGTATTTGGATAATATAAAACAGTTCCTACAAAAAGCTACAAAATGTCTGAACAGACCCAGAATCTCTCTGGTAAAGCTCCCACTGGCAAGGTGGATAAGGATGGTGCAAGCTGTCCCCAAGCACAGCAGAGAACATGGAGAAAGTTATGGCCTGACCTGCTCCTGCCCAAGATGTGCTGTGGCACGTGTTCAGGGAGCTGGAAACATCAGTTTCTGTGAGAAATGGGAGGCGTGCAGACCAGCATGTCTGGATGAGTCAGGGGAGGGGGAACTGGGCCAGTTGGAAGATTTGGTAAGACTGGGCACGTACATCTTCCACATTGTCTGTAACCAACATCATCCTGGAACAGAAAGGCTGGGTTGTCCCAGCCTAACACAGAAGCCAATTATTTTTGTGCAAAAAAAGCTCCTCGAGTTCTCGCTTCTGTTTAATTCTGTGGTCCAAGTGAAAAACTTGGAGGCTAGACAAAAAGTGTGAGGTAGAAACGGAAAGGACAGGGGCATTTCCAGGCAGCCAACTGGATTAGCTCATCTTCAGTGGTACTGCAGCCCTCTGTCCTCAGGAAAGAAGCTGCTCTACCCAAATCTGGTAGAAGCCCTTTGGCGTGGGATGGAAGGACTCACCTCATCCTGGCACAGCACACCCAAGAAGACCCCAGCTGAACCTGTAAAGAGCCTGTGGAGACTCATCCTCCTGGCATGCCCAAACTCCTCCTCCCCAGTGCAGCTAAGGGCTGAAAAAGAACAGAGATCTTCTGGAAGAGGCAATTTAAGATAGGTAAAAAGAGGCCTTAGGACTGCAGTAGAGGTTTCTGACCTTACCAGAGATCCTGGGGAGCTCCTTGGTGCAGGTGAATGAAAGAAGAAGGAAACGGGTCACCATCATGTGTGGCAACACATGGACACACGGCCTGAGGGTGTTGGGTAAGGGATTTAACAGGGCTCATGAAAACCCTGGGGCTGACAGGAAGAGATGTGGGACTTTGGTCTGTAATTGAGGGAAACAGACAAGTGGAAAAAAATAAAGATTGCAGGAGCAAATAATCAAATACCAACACAACCAAAAGAAATTTCAATCAATCCAAGGCTGGACAGGACAAAGCCTCAACGCTGCCCAGTGAGCTGCTTGTGGGAACTTGCAGATCACCAGCTGGAGATGTCCTTTTGGGGTAAAAAAAACCTCTGTGTTCCAACATGGGCAGTGCAAAGCCCACCTGGGAATTTTAATAAAATATACAAAAAAATGTAAAGGACATAGGGATAACTGGACAAATTTTAAGGATTGATTTTCATATGCTTCTAGAGAAAATGGAGCCCAAACTAATCACAGATGGTGAAGATTGACAGGAAGGCTAGAAAAGACTCGAGAAGACTCAAACCCTGTGGAGTTCTTTCAGAAGCCTGTCCACAGGAAAAAATAAACAGTTTGATTGTAATTTTGGTAGGAACTGTTATACAAGAATAAGTGGCCAACAAATTCAATCTTTAGAAAAGTATTTTGAAGAGGATAGTTAATTGAAGTATGATTTCTAAGAATTTAGGAATAATAATTGTCATAACCATGACAACAAAAACAATAATAATAACAGTAATAGCAATACAATACAATATGTCCTAAAATCATTCTGAATTCAATTCCAGAGCTGTACTCTTGCTCTCAGTGAAAACACAGATGATGCTGATGAAGATGGAGATTGGCACAACAGCCAATACATTGAGCAGCTACTCTATCATCTCAAAGGGTGAAAAAGCATTGAACAAGTCATCAGGGAAAGTTAACATAATGTGAAATTACCTTTCAATCTGTCCTAAAATATCACCCCCTTTTTGGCTAAAATTCATAGTAGAAGCAGGTCTTCTTTGGAAGACACAGGATGAAATGCTAGAATCTGCTTTATTTTCAGATGGATGCTGACCAGAGAGCTCTAACTGGCCCAATGCCCTTGTGGAAATATGTGTGGGGATGTGCAGCAGGAACATTAAACAGGGTGAGGAGTACTGCAGAACAGGATGACACCTGAGGTCATCCTGCTTAAAAGTTTAGAATGAGAGTAGAGTGAAGCACACTGCAACTTGCCAAGGGCCTGTCATAAGGTCCCTTGGTTTATCAGGGCTATGATACCACTGGAGGACTGGCTAAGAAGAGGGAATTCTTTCTGGACTGTCATTAGGCTCAGAGTTGAACCCCAGTGCCTGCTTCTGCCTTACCCTTCTCTCCTTGCTTCTAAACTTTCAAGAGAGCTCACAGACATCAATGCTTAGAGGCTGGATCCAGAGTCCAAGGGACCTGGCACAGCGGTGCCACACGGAGAAAAGTTTCCAAAGAAAATGTCTTGGGTGAAAACCCCTTTGCTGGAAAGGAAGTTCTGGCTGTGGTTCAATCTGTAAGACACTCTCACCATGGCCTGCAAGGCAGAATAGCTGTGGTTAGATCAGGCCATAGTTTCTTCCACTAGCTCTTTAATTCCGACATCCAGCAGAAACTTGCCAGGTGGTTGGAAAAATTGCCTTGTTTTGATTTCATGGTTATATTGAGGCCTGGGTGTGAAAGCACAGTAAGGCTGATGCTCTCCCAGATGGTGTTATTGGGAAGCTAATTGTAAACATTGTCTCACACAGGAGTGGGAGGAACCAGTTGCTCCAGAGAAGGCTCCTGTTTGGGAAAAGTTGAATGCTTCTTTTTTTCTCCTACTTTTTTTACTTTTCTGCCTAGTTTGAGAAAGTGGAGTGAGGCTGCAGAAAAGAACACTAGAAAATGATTTCCAGAAACAAAACTTGCTGTCAAGACAGAGGGGCTAGAAAATAATTTGAAAGAAATCCTGACCATCCAGAAGCAGAGTATTCCCTGCATGTTGCTTCTCAATGTATGAGCAGTCTCTCTCCCTGGTCTGAAGACCCAAAAAATAAGATGCTCAAGGCACCGGAAGAGCTTTTTGAGAAGTGGCTGCCAAGGATGTGGATGCCCTGTATTCTACCCCAAGCCTTTCTGATTTATCTCTGGGATACCCTGCAGTCTTCCTGCTGGTGGGTCTTTCACTGGAAATGCTGGACAACCTCAGGCTCAGATGGCAGTGACATTTGTGAGTCTGTGCTGTGTCTCTCTTTCTGCAGCCAGCAGACCAAGTACAGAAAATGAATATTAACACCCTCACATGCTTTACACCTGGACAGGTGGAAAGAGGGAAAAAATTAATTTGCTCAGGCAAAACACCCTTGTGCATTTTGCCTCTAGAAGAGGTATAGAGGTTCCCATCTGCAATGGTGGAACAAAAGCTTACTGTTCAATCTCAGTTAAGGATATATTTTATTTTCCTTTTCTTTCCCCAGGTTGTAAATCTAGTACTTAATTACTTTTAAAATTCTTACCAAGGTGGAGGCACCTCAGAGAGGAATGAGAGAATTTCATTTCAGTAGCCATTTTGTTCTTGCTCCCAGATCCCAATTCCTTCCCATGAAACATGTTTTACAACTTGGAGCATCAAATCTCAAGGATTCCTTCTCTAACATGTTTAAATTACTTCCTTTTACTGAAGATATTTCTTCTTCTTTAATCTAGCTGATTTGTTTTCCAGCAAATGAATCAAATGAAATCTTTTTTCAATTGCTTTTCCTTACTTTTCTGTTGATTTTTTTTAACCAAACATCATGCTTCCAGTTGCCACTGAAAATTTAGTAATTCCTTCTGTTTTTTCAATCCTCTTTGAATGAAGACCTCTTTATTTTTAGATCACTGGCAGGCTTTATTTCATAATTTAAAACTTTGCTAAGTAATGCACAGATTGGTGTGGGTACTAAAAAATAAGTCTCACAAACTCTTGCCTCATTCACATGCACCAGCTCCCCAGGTCCACCCATAATTTAAAGGCAGAATAGAGTCTTTCTCAGGCCCCTTTAGTATCCTTCAAGGCACACTTTTTTAAGCTGCACAAGAATGTTTTAGAGGCTGGTGCAACAGCCAGAAGACAAACCAGCGCTGTTTTGGGCACAGAGCAGAAAGCAAGCAGGCATTAAAACAATTTGGCATGACTAGCATTAATTTACTATACTGTTTATGATTAAAACTGTCCAAACAGTTAGTCAGAGAGAGCTGAGTTTGCACAGCTTTGTCTGGATGTCTTGTCTTATTTAGGATCTGGACCTCTGAAGAGCAGGAATGCAGAGGTGGAGAGGCATGGTGGTACACAAACAGAGAAGATGAATTTGTTGGTGCTGGGTGGACAGTGACAAAATACTGGTTAAAACTCTCCAAACCCCTCTTCTTTTAGCCAAGCCATTGTATTAAATTCAAGTTTTACACTAGCCACCTCCTGTAGCTGTTCAAAGCTCTGGCCTACAGTGGGAAGAGAAATGTTCCAGTCGGCTGCAGGGGTACAGGTGGTTGATTTTACCAGCTCTCCAAGTGTTTTTCATTTATTTTTCCTTCCTGACATAGTTAAAGGCACATTCCTCAGCTGTGTTAAAACAAATGGCCTACTCTCCCACTTCGGGTGGTGCATTTCAAATGAAAGCCAGGCTTAATTAGAGCTTTTGAAGGCTTAAGAGTTAATGTGTTCCCATTAAACACTAACCACCAATTCTTTATTCTCTGGCTATGGGTGCTCACAGCCATGCCAGTGTGGGCTGTGGGGCTGTGCTAGTGGGGACAATCTCAGGATCATGGCACCATGCCCAGCTTGGGAGAGGCCAGTAGCAGATGTTTGACCATTGTGACGCTTGGAAAAATGTCTTCAGGTCAGAAACACTTGGATGGTGACCCTGTGTCCCAGCTGGACTTACTGTGGGATTTGAGCTTGCAGGGAGGTGGAGAAAAGCTCTTGGGGAGGTGGCTCTGGTGGCCAGCATCACCTGGCACTTTGCTGGCCAGTTGAGCTCTGTAGGTGAGCTCAGGTGATGTGCAGCTGGCCTGGGTCGTGGCACAGAGGATGGATCCCTGCACTCGTCCCTGTGTGGGAAACACTGCAAGAATTATTGTTCCTGTTTTATAGGTTTGGGAAGCTGGGGATTAAATGAGTTGTCAAAGGCCGCACAGAGAGCCAGGGGCAGAGCAGGCAGCACGCCACGAGCCTTCACTGCACTCCAAGGCAGCTCCAGACCACACTGCATCTTAAAGGCAGACGTTCAACAGCCCTGTGGCTTGTATAGATGCTTAAATGGAAGACAAATTGCAGCATTTTTGCCTTTATTTGCACGGGTAACATCTGTCCAGACTTCTAAACCTGTACAATGACTGGTGAGTAATTCAGCAAAGATCTCTACCAGACAAAATAGACATGCAGCACACACGGATTTATACGTTGAGCTTCCCTGCAAAAATCGCACTGACAGACTTGCAATAAATATATAATTTTATGGCCTATTTCTCAATCATATTCTGCTACATAATATCATGCTAAGAACTGTGAACTACCTTGCCAATGGAAATATGCAGCTGGCAAGAGGTAAAGTCTCTCCAGAGCTGTTCAAGGAGTCGTAACTGTAACAATATAAGCAAATAGATCATCAGTGGATTCCTTTATGAATTTTTTTTTTTCCTCTTTTTTTTTCCTCTCCTCCTTCTTTCTCCTCATTTTCCCCTCTCACTTTCTTCCATCTGCCCTTCTCCACCATCCCTCCCCCTCACCCACTCCACTATTAGTGTTTAGAAGATTTCACAGTTTTGTCCCAACCCTGGAAAGAATGTAAGTCGATGCTGCTGATTGCCTTTGAAAACATTTGGAACAAATTATGACTACTTTTGGAATCCGAATAAAAGAATGTGAGCCTCACTGGAGAAATATGAAATACAGGGTGGGATTCACAGAAGGTCTGTAGCATTTTTTCTTAAAAACAAAAACCAACAACACTTTTGATTTTTTTTTCCTTATTTTTGTTACTTCAGGTTGGAAAATATTTCATGTGGGCAAAGTAAAGGGTTTAGAAAAGTGCTTTTTTGTGAAGTGACATCTTCATCAGGTCTTTTAAAGGTGAAAATGATGATTGGCATGAGTCAATCAACATGAACTCTGTGATCCCAGTAAATTTGATGAAGAAATGAAGCAAACTGTATTCTCTGTACCTCCACTACTGAGAGATATTTTGGGTGACTAAAGTCTCTATTTTCTGCCTTGTTCTGCTTTTAGATAGTTTGCCTCAGTTTCCCTGCCTGCTGGCTGCTGACACTCTGTGGTGCTGTGCAGCTGCCACCAGAAAAACAATAAAGATCTCCTGGGGAAAGGTTTTGTAGGGACTTTTAGGACAAGTCACACATTGCCTGATTCAGGCTTTCCTATGTGTAGAAGTATTTGTGTCCAGGATTTTTCTTTGCCCTATTGCAGGAAATGGTGCCAGCCACAAAGTTAGGTTCTAAATCATCCTACCAATGGCACAAATTTAGTGGAAGGACCTGTGAAGAAGGACTTTTTTATTCTCCTTTTTTTTTTTTTTAAATTTTTTTTAATTAAAGTTGATTTGTTTTGGGTTGAGATTCATGCCTAGTATAAGTGGGAAAACCTCCTAATGAGAAGATGGACAGCTTTGCACTTCTACACCAGCCTCTCTAAAATCAGCAACTAGCTGATCCACACCCACATATCTCTTTAGGAACATTTCATCCTTTGATCTTGAGGCTTAATTAGCCAAAAATGAAGACAGAAACTTGCCCTGTAGAGGATCAGCCATCAGAACCAGTGTTGCTGATTCTCCTGGGCCACCATGGCCTTACAGTTCTGGGCTTAGCCCTTCCCTGGGGAAACTTACAAATTGGGGATAAGTGCCTCATAAGGGTTTTCAGCAGATATCTACTCAGATTCTGCAAAGTGTGCAAAATTAATGGAAAGTAGCAATGACCAAGACATTTTCCCATTTCTCTTCTGCTTTTCTGGAAGCTCTCCAGAGGATCTGCAGCCTAGCCACACTTAAAAGCTGTTGCAGTAACCGAGTTCAACCTGGTAAAAAATGAATTGCTGTGATGATCAAATTATTTTTTTAAATTTTTTTTTAGCAGCAGATGAAAACTATTTTCTAAGCTTTGGACTTTTTGCTTTGTTTCCTTGACTCATAAAGCTTTGGTGAATCCTGCTCATAAGTGCCAGAGATGGCAATAGATGCCAAAGCCCTGGCAAGTTTGAATCTGTTCACATAAACCCTGTGGGTGTGAATTTGATTCTTTCCAATGATTGTTTTGGAATGGTTTAGTCACATTGTTTTGACCTCCTTTCTCCTCCTTGCAAACTTCATCCAGGCTGGTTATTGTTTATACAAAGGGACCAAAGGCTATTTTATGCACTGGTATATTATTTCTGATAAATAAGCTAAGGGAAAAAAATAAAATGGAAATAGGTAAAACACACTGTAGGGAAAAAACAGAGATTTATTTTTGTCCACACTGGAAAAGTCCCAATGCAAAGAAGACTGAGAGAGTGACTCCAGCAATTTTGTCCCTCAGCACTTTAAAAGAGGAACATAAGAATATGAGAAAGCAAATGAGAGGGAATCCACTGTGGGCTGGGGAAGAGGGCTCAGAAGGTAAAAATCAAGCCTTGTCACAAAGTGAAGGGTTGAGAGATGACCAGGAGAGGAAGGAAGGTCATCTAGAGGGGATTTGGAGACCATTAGCTGGCATTCCCTGCTGGAACACAGTCAGTCAGCCAGTCAGTCACCAGCAGCTGGGCCACGGGGGAGTTTTTGGGAGACCCTCTCCTGGCTGCACTGACAGGCTGTTTGGGCTTGTCAGCACTACTGCAACAGCAATAACAGGGATGATTGTATTCCTGCTTCCTGGAGAGAGAATGTGCCCTACGGAGCTGGGGAGAGATAGGAATCAGGAAGATCATAAAAGTTGGGAAGGCAACAGTTGAGGCAGGGAGTCATTAAAAGGAAGTTAATGCTGTTAGTGGGAGGTAGTCTAAGAAAATATGTTAGAAGCTGAGATGTAAACTTGAAGGGCAAATATAACCCTTTACATCTATGATTTTCAAGAAACTCCTACAGAGTGGCATGCCACAAATTTTTACTGGAAGCTTGACATCTGGTAGCTTTTTATGCCTCTGGTAATCAGCCTCCTCATATATGACAGCTGGGCTGAGAGCAAGTACTTTTCTCCCAGTGTTTGCTGGCACTTTGGAACACCACCATCACTGAGAACAACACAAACCCTCCTCGTGCCTCCACCAGGGAACTCAGAAATGATCATTAAGGCTATTGGGTTCTCAAAGAACATAGCAAGGAAACCACCCCTCTGTTAAGTCAGCTTTGAGCTGCAGCAGAGAAAAAAGAATATTAAAAAAAAAAAGGAGTGTAAATATGTCTTCAACCCCAGATCTCCTGGATCTTAGGAAGTCCACGTGATTGCACAGTTCTACTCAGCTTAAAAACTCCCAGTGATGAAATATTACCAATAAAACATCGTGAATGGACTTTCACATACAGTAATTGGAATGCAAAAGGTATTTAATTGTCAAGCAGGGCATGTATCATGTCTGAAGCCTGGAAAACCCTGAGAATAGCAGTATTCATAGCCCTTTGCATTTTCTGCATTTCAGTTCTGTGCAAGACAAAGAAATCATCTGCAGGGAAAGTATCAATCCTGTGCCAAAGGTTACAGATTAAACTGCTGCTCTGTAAATATGTATATACATCCACAATGTATGCATTATTCTGAAAGGAAGCCAGTCATCCAGACATTGATTTTCCTGCAAGAAATATAATTCACTGAAACACAGTGGCTGCTGCAGTTTAACAAGCACTATTTCCTTCTCTCATACATGGATTTTTGCATTCAAAGGACACGGTTTGCTTATAAGTTTGTGCATGTGTGCTGCAGAAGAGGGAAATCTTTACCTAGAAATCTTTATCTTCACTGAATGCTACTTTTCAGCTAATGAGATTGCTGTCACCTAAATTTTCATTGTTTTAAGAGCAAGTGGCTGCCGACAGTTTCCTTTCAAGCTTGAATGATGAAAGGAAAACACCACGCTGCCTCATCTGGCTAGCTTGCTGTGAGCTAATGAGCCTGAGGCTGCACCCATCTTTGCTATACTAGTGTGACCTTATGTCTGCTAATGCACAGGGAAGGAGTGAAAAATGTACTGCTAGTTCCCTCCAACAGTTCCCTGGGGACATGCTGAATGTGCCAAACAATTTAGTAAATATATATCAGGTTCCTGTGCTGAAACATACTCCAAAGTATTGCAACCTCAGGTATCTCAATCAAAAGATCATATTTTATTTTTGCTTATCTTCACCCTCTGTGTTCAACATTTGGTAATTTCTCTCTGAAAGGGATATATTTCCTTGGTAATTTTTTTACCTTTCACAATAATTTTCAATTGGTGGTAAGTTTTGTAATGGGCTATCTGAAATTTTAAACGGTATTTTTGGTTGGGTGTTTTTTTGGTTTTGTTTGTTTGTTTGCTTTCTTTTCTTCTCTTTTCTACTCCCAGGTAAACAGGAGTTGATTTTAAGAACAATTCCTGACTGTGGGTGTACAAATGTGTGCTTTCAAATCTCTCAGAGAATGATTTGTGTTGGAAGAGACCTTAGAAATCACCTCATTCCATCCTCCTGCCATGGGCAGGGTCACCTTCCACTACCCCAGGTTGCTCCAAGCCCTGTCCAACCTGGCCTTGGACACTTCCAGGGATGGGGAACCACAGATTCCCTGGGAAACCTGGGGCTTTACCCCTCTCACAGCCAAGATGTTACTCACTCCAGAAGAAGTGATTTATCAGCTGTTGGCAGCAGTGCCCTCTGTAGTTTGTTGATTTATGAAGTTTACAGATCTTTACACAAAGAAGCAGAATAGATGTTTTTAGCTATTTCACCCACCCCACAGTTCCCGTCTGACTGCTCTTCAGTCAAGTCTCCGTGTCCTCAAAACATAAATTTCCACCATTTCCCTCCAGAAAGGGCTTGGCAACGGAAGAAGTGCTTATCTTTTGGGAAGTCACTCCCTGTGGTGAAAGGATGGTACTTTTCAAAAGGCAGTCCTGACCCCAGGCAAGTGAGAAATGGGGAGAAGACCGTGCTTTCCCCATTTTGCAGGCAGGGGATGCCAGTAGGGATGATAAGGTTTTTGGCTTTGTGTGGCACAGGACTGACCGTGTTTGCCTCCAGCATTGCAGTGCCTGCCAGGGTTGTCTCTGCCTGCTGCAAGGAAGCAGATCTGAGCACAGACCTCCTGCCCTGTGCCTTTTTAATGGGCTGTTTTGTTTTATTTTGTCTGCGGCTGCCAACCAGCATTTTCTCCTCTGCTGTTGGAACAGCAGAAGTGCTGGCTTGTTGGCACGGAAGCTGCTTTTCCCTCTCACTAAGCCTGTCTGAGTTATTATTGCACTGCAGTCACCCCGTCCTTTTTTGCTTTCTCTGGCATCAGCATTTCCCTGCAAAAGCAGTTGCAGTGTGCTGTAACCCTGCGGATGTGCTCCATAAGCCCTGAGCCTCAAATCACAGCAGCAAGGTTTCCCCCTCTGTGGTCCCTGCCTTCATTTTAAATAAGTATTAGGTCTGAAACACAGAATCCTATGTTTGATTTCCTTTATTTGCCTCCATCCACACCTTCCTGAACTGCTGCGGTAAATCCTTCATGCTAATTATTATCCTTTAAGACTCACAAAACAGCAAATGCTTATACACTGCTTAAAATAAAGAGATAGAGCGTGGCTGTTATCCAAAAGCTACAATCCAACCAGGACAGGATTAAGTATATTCAAGGCAAACACACCCACAATCTAATCAAGACAAAAGAAGAAATCTTGGCTCAGTTTGAGTCAATGGGAGTTCTGCCACTGACTTCAGTGAGGTTAGGATTGCACCCAAGATAAACAAGTATGAGACAAGACAAAATAAAATAGTTTAGA